ACAGTTCCGACGTGGTATTCTATGGAAATCTTTCTGGCTAGCTGCGGATTGTCTTTCGGACTGTGTTTGTCGATTCATTCGTTTCGAGTAGTTAAAATTGTCTCGCCAAGTACTTTCAGCCGTTACGTTTGCGTGTCTGGTCGGATGGGCCCTTGATTCTTGATTCGTTCGCTAGCCGGGGCTCACTTCGTACCACCTTCCATCACAATAGCATCACTAATTCAATCTGCATGCATGAACCAGTTAAGTGCAACCGGCTGCAATGTCACTTGGTCTGCCATCGCTGAAGGGTTCCTAAAAGCCACAGGGGAAAAGTGAGAATATTATGTGAAGCAACTCAATGTATACAGGGAACAACATTGTTCATTACTGAACATCGTAGCTATGTACTAAGTATGGCTTATATAAAGAGTCAGGCAATGCGCATGCATACATTTTTCACCTATAGATAAAGCACACATTGAATCGCTATCGAATTGATGTGAGAATTGAATAAATTAGCTTGTAATTTCATGGAAATAATTTCGGCATTTATTACAATGTAATACTTAAATAAAAAAAAGAACTTGAAATAATTACAAATACCTATAGGCATATAAATTTAAAATTGTGTTATGTGTATTTTTAATGTTCTGAATGTGTTCTGTGGGACTAATGAAACGCTTAAAACAAGCCAAAGAACTAGATGTACTTCATGAACGGTCACGTTAAATTTCATACGAAGTTGGCTATGGCAAATGCTCGTATTCAGTTTATCGATGAGTGCATATCAAACTCGGAATATCTTAAACAATATCAAACTGTGTCAGGAAGAAATCGGGTTAACATCCCTAATGTGTCTCTACGTCGCCAAGCGCTTAATGAACGAGATATCGTATCAAGCCGTGTACCGGAATGGAGCGAAATTCTGTGAAATCCCCCCGTGTTTTGGATGCCCCTGGAGGGTCGTAAATCGTTACCACAATGATACACGACTTCCGCAGACTCCACGCGTAGAAGATGTGTTCGAAGTGCTCGATTCCTAAACAGCCTTGCTGGACTGTGTCCCGTAGTTGAATGTACTGCATTACGATATTGCATCCGAAAGTTATCAACGCCTCTGTCCAGTTCGTCGAATGTACTGGGATTCAAGAAAGTAATGGCACTCTTCAGCGTGCGCACAAAGTTTTCGGCTGAACCATTGGCTTGCAGATGTCGGGGTGAAGTGAGAACATGCCGACAACTCACGGAGTTCAACCAATCAGTAACTTTATTGGCAGTGGAATGGCTTCCATTGTCAGTCACGATAGCATACGGGACACCTTCTCTACTGAATGTTTTCCTGAGTGCTCGTATAATAAATTATGAACTGGGAGTTGTAAAGTACACTTATGGCCAACGGGAATAGGAATCGACGATCACCAATGCGTAATACTTGTTGAAGAATGGACCACAGTAATCCACATGTATTCTTTGCCACGACTCGGAAGATGCTGGCCACGGACTCCATTTCGAAGGCTGTCTATGAGTTTTGTGCAGTTGCACAGGAGTTTGCAACATGATTAGGATCATGATTCAATTCAGGCCACCAGCATGTGAGACGAGCAAGAGACTTCATCTTTTTAATGCCAAGATGACCGGGATATAAGTCATTGAGAACAGCAGTACGTAATGTCGGAGGTACGATAATGCGATCATTGTAGCACAAGACACCATCACACATCACAGAAATTCCTCACGACGTTTATCGAATTCCGGAAATCGACGCTTGATATCACCTCGCCAACCTCGACGGACACAGGAAATGATAGCGTGTAATATTTCCTAGTCTCGCGAACTAGATCAGTTCGGCTTACCGGGAGCGGTTGAGTGAGTAGACAATCAGCCGTAGAAGCCTACTCTGAAATGGCGTAGCGTGATAGATAGTCTGCATTTGGAATGGACTGCGCGCTGCGATGATAGATGTCGTATAAATAGGCAGACAACGCAATATTCCATCGTTGTACCATGCCTGCAGATGACTTAGCCAGGGAACTTTGAGGGTTGTAAATGAACTGCAGGACTTCATGATCACTCGCAATAGTGAACTGAGTACCATAAAGATGCATAACGGTGCATACGAGTGACAGCCCAATAGACAGCTAGAGCTTCTCGTTGAGTTTGAGAATACCCACATTCGGTAGCCGTGAGTCTGCGTGAGATGCACAACACCGGATGACCATTCTGCTCCAACACAGCTCCAATTCCAACGGGCGATGAGTCCGTGATGACGGTAGAATGTAATCTTGGGGGGAAAACCGTAACAAAGCACTGGTAGATAAAAAAGAAAGTAAGTTCCTCAAGGCGCGTTCATGGACCAAATTCCACTGAAATGTTTGCTGTGACAATAAATCGAACAGCGGAGCAGCTTGGGTTGAAACGTTAGGAATAAAATTGGAATAGTATTGTAAAGAACCAATTAAAGAACGAAGTTCATGGAATGACTTGGGAGATGGGGCATTAGTCAACGAAGAAATCTATTAGGGTTAGGACGGAATCCGGATTCATGAACCAAATAATCTAAACAAGAAAGTTTAGTCGTAGCAAAGGCACATTTGTCAGGGTTAATAGAAACATAATGAGAACGAGATCTATCAAGCAAAGCTATAGTACTGGGAATAGTATTCGAAATGGGATTCCAGAATTCGCGCAATTCCAATCCCCGAAATACAACAACTTCGAATAGAAAAGCACACGAACTTTATTCGAATCGTATACTATGCATATTCAATGCATTTAAAGTGTACAAGGAATTTCGAGGTCAGTGTCACACATTACACTCGCCGCACCTTGAATTGACCACAGGATTTCTGTAATTCAGTCTGGGCTCTGCACTCAGTCGTTCAGACCTTCGTAGGACTTGTTCATTCACACGTAATTCTTCCGTAGCGGCTTGTTGTTCAACATTCTGTTCACCAGTCGTATCAGGTTGCTCAGTATCTAAAGAAACATTATTAGACTCGGAATTTTCATCATNCGAGAAATGTAAAAGGTCCTCAGGCACAGAAATGGCTTGGCAGAGGGCTAAATCATCAGAATATTTAAATAACTGGGCTGAAGAACTCGCAGGCAGATCACTGACGTAGGTGGAAAACAAGAAAGAAGACAACACATCACCCTGTAGTACTCCCGAATTGTTCACGAGTAGTTTAGACGTTTTCCTACCGAACCGAGTCTGCTGAGTTCTGTTTGTAAAGTAATCGACGAGCCACGCTAGTAGGTGCTTGGGACAGCCAAATGATTCCAGTTTACGAAGAAGGACGGAACGTGGAACAGAGTCAAAAGCTGATGAGAAATCTAAGAAAACACATCTTACAGACTTCGCAGATGCGTCTAAGGATTTGGTAACGTGATGAACGAGGGAGGCAACGGCATCCAAAGTGGACCTGTTTGATTTATAAGCGAACTGGAAATGGTCTTCAGGGGTACAGGAGGAAGCAGAAAGACATTTGAGAATGGCACGTTCAGCCAATTTAAGACCGCATGACGTTAGAGAAATGGGACGGAAACGTTTGGAAAGAGTGCTGGATCTGCACGGTTTTGGAATCAGTGACAAGTACAGCAGGAATACCTTCCCGACTGAGAACTTCATGCAAAGCATGAATAGTAAAATCTGATGAAGGTGACTTAGTGAAAAATACCTCTGGCCACTTGGAGAAGGAATCAATGACAACAATAGGATACATTCCATTAATAAATGGACCAAAATAATCCCCATGAACGCGTTGCCACGCCTCAGTTGAAACAGCCCACGGAACCCACTTGGATGGCAACTGTCAAACTTTGTGGTAGCATTTAGGGCAGCTCTTTGCTTTGGGACATATGTCGGGATCCATGTTCGGCCACCAACAAGTTAGTCGAGCCAGTGACTTTATCTTTTCTATCCCAAGATGGCCGGAATGTAGGCCATCAAGTACAGCTTTACACAAGGTCGGCAGAATCACAACTCTGTCATTCAAGCACAAACATCCATCAGGCGTATTTGAAAATTCACCAAGTCTAGTATAGTGATGTGGAAGTCGCTTCTGGGTCTTGGCGTTTTAACCCTTCTGCAAGACGGTCATCACAGCGTGAGAAATAACGACGTGTGTCACGAATACGTTCTTGGAGGCTCACAGGGAGAGGTTGTACTAGTGTTATATTCCGAAANCAAGGTCGGTGGAATCACAACTCTGTCATTCAAGCACAGCAATCCATCAGGCGTAATTGAAAGTTCATCACGTATAGTATAGTGATGTGGAAATCGCTTCCGGGTCTGGGCGTTCCAATCCTTCCGCAAGGCAGTCATCACAGCAGAGAAATAACGACGTGTGTCACGAATAAGTTCTTGGAGGTTCACAGGGAGAGGTTGTACTAGTAGTGAATCAGAAATATCCTCTGGCTCCGAAGCGGGTAGCGTTTGATGCGAAATGTAATTCACTTGTCGGATGTATTTGGCGCTGCGATGTTAAATTGTGTAATCATATGCACTGAGTGAGATACTCTACCGTGAACCATAGCTGCAGAGCTTCTGGAAAGGAATTTTCCAGGATCGAAAATGAATTTCAAGGCCTCATGGTCGGTAACGATGGTGAAATGATGAACGAAAAGGAACTTGTGGAGGCGCTTGACTGCCCAGTATACCGCTAAGGCTTCGCGATGAGTTTGAGCACAGCCTCGTTCAGCTGCTGTTAACTGGCGAGACACAAACAATTGGATGCCCATTCTGCTCAAGAATCGCACCAATTACATCGGGTGAGGCATCAGTAATAACAGTGGAATGAATTTTGGGATTGAATGGGTGAAGTACAGCATCAGTCAGCAGAAAATTTAGCAATTCACGTAAGCAACGTTCATGAACATAAGTTCAAACAAATTTGTCAGAAGAAGAGAGAAGAAATAAGGGTGAAGCTTCCTGACTGAAATTAGGGATAAATCGAGAGTAATATTGTAGGGCTCCAATCAATGATCTGAGTTCGTGTATATTAGACGGTGATTTGGCTTTTGTCAGAGGAAACAGACGGTTCGGATCAGTTTTGTAACCTTTACCATCAACTACGTATCCAAGACATTCAAAATGAGAGACAGAAAATAAACACTTCTTAGGATTAACGGCAACATTCTTATCAGA